ATTTTTATAACAACAAAAACTTTTAAATGCACTTGTCAGACTTCCATTCATAACATTAAACATGTATATAAAATACAGAAAACAAGAATGTAACATAAAACAAATAACTCATAAAATAACTAAAGCATCTTAAAAGACGGCAGTGCTGTGTTAATACTAATGCAGTTATCGAAGGAAAACTATTGTTCTTTAACAAAATTTCATTGCAATTCTATCAGTGCATTTTTAGAAGAAGTAAATATTACTCGATACTTTCTGATTGGTGGCGGCTCAAAGGCAAAACCGATTTTTGTCCCTATACTTCCAGAATGGTTGCTAATGGAGTGCAATTCTAGCATTTGTATGCTTGTATGAACTATTTATAAACAATTTTAAATACATATTTACCGTATTTGGCTTATAATTTTTATTTAGTTTTTTCTTAAAATGAGAAGAAAATAAATAAAAATTTGAATGCTCATTTTGCCACTCTCCATCACCTCACCTGTCGAGCCTGTCCCGTTTCTGATCATTCCATAGATTCTCTCAAATTGGTCTGTGGAATCCACTTTGTGGAAACACTGCTGTATATCATAATATACAATCAAAAGCTGATTCTAAATTGATATTTAATTCAAAATGATAATTAAGAAAACAATGAAAATGCTTATCTTTCAGCTTCATACAATCAATTCACACTTGAACTTACTCTGAGGAATTGATTCTGAGCTCTGTTAATAATATCAATAGTTTGACTTGTTTTCGTGCTACCAACCGAATAATTAACACACAAATTTCAGATTCATTATTCAAAGCAAAATGTTTAGAATAAAGAAAATGTCGACACTGGCATCGACAAATATACACAATTATTTTTATTGTATTAAAAAAGAAATTATAAATTAGATAAATTTCATTGTAGATATAAACAAAACATAATTAATTGTCCATTTTTTATATTGTTAAATTAATATGTTTTTTTGACAATTAAAAAAAAATCTTATGCAATTTTAATTTTTAATTTAAATAATTATAATTATTATTGTTATTTAATAACCACTGGAAATGCAATGCTAACAAGTAAAAAAAATTTTCGTTAGTCCTTTAATTTCTAACGTTTTTGGCTATATTTTATCGACTGTCTTCAACATAAGCTGACAAAACAAATGATGGTTCACTCAAATTAACTTTCATTCGTTTGTAAGTTTCTCCTGAGGAAAGTCTAAAATATGGCCAAAAACGTTAGAAATTAATGTGATTAATGCAATTTAAGGTTTTTTTCGAAGTGTTTTCAATAATTTAATATATTCAATTTGAATTTTTTTTAATAAACTAAGTTAAACATGTCTAAATCAAAAAAAAATATATATATTGAATTATCTGAATGCACACACACATGGCAACCAAACTGTGGCCCACAAACTGCACACAACTCCGTTAGAATCTTATTAATATTCAACTGCTCAAATCTATATATATAAAAGTACATGTCCCGACTGACTGATTCATCATTGCCCTGAGAAAACCGCTGAAACCGAAGAGGTGAAATTTGGTACACAGTTAGCGTACGCAATGAGAATGGACACTAAGAAGAGACTTTTGGAAGTTCCTCTGCGAGAGAAAGAGGGAGAGGTTTACGGCTTAACCTGAGGAACAGCTTCTACTGTACTATTTTAGATGCAATTTTTTGTTTTTGATAGTAATAACTTATTTCCAAATGTACAATATTTACCAAATCATCCAATCATTTACCCGAGCAACGCAAGGCTCATTTGCTTGTTGGATATGCATAAATAAACACTATAAATAGAACAAATATCCAGCAAGAAAAACATGGACACCTATTCAACACAAATGAAAACATTTGCTTTATTGTATTTTTCTTGCTGAATATTGGTTATATTTGTGTAGAGTTTGTTTATTTCTTTATATATATATACACACACACACATTTTTTAATATATATTTTATAGCTTTAAATTAAGGAAATTAGATATATTATGTAAATGGAATTGTTAGTAACAGAAAAATCGAAATTAATCTTAATTTTATAAATAATTAGATCGCCCACTTGCTACGTGCAGCATCTATTGATCTGAAGAACAATTTTAGCAAAAGTTATTAGTTATCGAATATTAGTTATATTAGTTATATATAGAATATTAGCATATATTAGTTATCGAATATTTTTAATGCTTTCATCAAAAATATTTTTCATAACTAATCCGAACAATTTGGTTGTTATTATTTATTTTTTTTTATTTTTATTTAATCATACGACCCTATGGCCATTGGCCTTTTTCAAGGGTCAAAAGAAAAATTAATGATACAGACATTTACCAAGTATACAATCAACAAAACAACAAAAATGAACAGAAAGGAAAAATACAATAACATCAAAACAAAAAAAATTAAATATTAAATTAACTCCTTCAAATGCTAATAAATTAATTTATATATTTTAGTTTTACTATAAATTTTACTCGCTACATTTTATAGCAGGATAGTTATAAAAACTTAACTTTTAGTATTCTATAAATGAATAGGAAGTAACACGATAAAGCATTAAGATCCTCTTAAAGATAGAAGGTCCAAGGGCATATTGCACGACCCAAATCATTTGTAATGCATCCGAATTATCCACGCGATGAAACATGACTTAATGAAAATTAGTAGAGACTAGAGAAGTAAAGGGAAAAAAAAATAAAAATAAAAAAGCAAAAACAAAAGACCTTGATTTAGTAACTATTCTCAGAATAAAAACTGCACATCTTAGTTTCACTATAATGAAACTGAAGGTCATCCATTTTAAACACCGTGCGTATTGTATATAAACAGTTAATTCTCAATATTAATTACGTAAAATATTTAATATAAATCCATTTAATTGTATTAACTATATAAACAGTTTAATATGCATATTAACTCGATTATAAAATTAAAATTTTTATATTATCCAATGTACGGAAATTTAAATTATTTAAAATCGAATATTTGACTATAATAGTCATAAATATATTTTTTAGAAATGGTAAATGCTTACAAACAAATATAAAAATGAATTTTGAAACCTCTCTTTGTTCCATGCTAAAACAAAATCACATGTTGTAACAATTTAAATTAAACTAATTAAATATTCGTAGCATATAATCAATTTGCATATGTTTACTATTGCCTTTTCAGACAATACGTTTAAAAGAAGTACTCCGAATGTCAATTAAATTGGTATTTAATAAATAACTAAATGATATAATGCACATTCTTTCGCTGTTAAACTATCAGTGTTTGTTTATTTTAATTATTTTCAACACGTTTATCAGCTTGTCAAATAAAAAAAATTATCAATTAAATCAAAATAAAATATTTAAATATTAGTGATCTTTGACTAAGCTCGTTTCCAAAGCCTGGCTAGGTTAGCACCGGACCAACTAACGTCACACAATAACTAAAAGTGCATAAACGGTATCCTAAATCGGTAAATTACACCTCCCGTGTCTGTAAAGTACTATAAACTGCTTGAAATTTAAATTAGACACGTATTAAACATGTACCAAAGTTTACATCTGTGGTCATTCGACAAATGAGCCGACGGTCGAGAGAATTTCAAGTGCCTCTTTTACATCCGAAGTAAAAGAGGTATCGGGCCGTCGGGTGCCAGAAAAGTCGCCAGAGAATCTATACATCTAGATTAATTAAACATATAACTTTTGTTTAATAATTTTGTAATTAAATGTAAAAAATTAGAAAATATTACAAATCAAAATTTTACTTTTAAGATACATTAGTTTAGTAATAATTATTTCACTGCTGAACTAATACTTTGTAATCATTTCGTTGTTATCTCGTTTGGATTGATCTGTTATCTGTTGTGTTTATAAAACATTTAACTGCTCGTGTTTGTTTATACCAGAGAGAAATTAAAAATTAAACAATTCAGGACCAATTTTATGAACAACAAAAGAAGGCAATTAATTTTTTATAGCATAACTATGAATAAAATATGGGATATAATAGTTTATACAATTTATTTAAAGGAAAGTTTTATTAATAATATCAAAATAAGCTTTGTAAAAAAATGATTAAGTGACATCTAAATGGAAAAAAGAAATTTAATCATTGCTTTCGCTTTCATAAAAAAATCAAATATTTCCGTCAATCTAATCAACGTGTTTTATATACAATATATAATTTGAATATATTCTGCTAAATTAATTTCATAAATGACATTCACATTACTTCATACTATTTCTGTATCATTTCGTAAAACACTTATTTCTTCTGCAATGATATTACGTCGATACCATTTAAGATCGGATGTATCTTTCAATCTATTAATATTTGTAAAAACATTCGTTGAACTCAATGTAAATTCAAATTTTAAGAAACTAAATAGTTCAGTCTCGAAAAGGGGTAATATCTATAAATGTTCCAATGATACAAACAATAAAAATCGAGTAAAACACTGATAATAAGTTAATGTCTATTGTTACATATTATCAGCAATTATTACAAATATCAATGCAATATTCCGGCTGTTATATGCATGTAATTTTTTAATATATATACTTATATATAAGTAGACCTTGTAAAATCAAATATATATGTACAGATTGTCCGAAGAGTTATTGTGCAATNCTTTGGAATTTAAATATTAGAATTAAACTTAAGCAGTTCTTTCCAGTCATATGATGATGATGAATATGATGATGATGATGATGATGATGATAAAGAAATTGTAATTTCAACCAAAATAATTGCAAGTGTATTTCTATTTATGTAATTAAAAAAAACAGGATCAAATTTACAATTTCACTTCCTGTAAAAAAAATAAATATATAATTAAAAAAAAAACAAAAATAATAATAAATAATGGAACTCGTGGTAAATAATTCGAATGTAATTGACAAATTAACCGATTATGACGTCGTAGATTACGTAAGCGATCGTTTTGCACGAGAATATTTCAATTTGTCGAATCTGTCATTCTTTAGCAAGAGAGAAAATAGGAAAATAAATCTTGCCTTTGTAATGGACTCTCAAATTATTCTGCGATAAACCGATGTACGTGAATTTATCTTTGGGGCTCCAGGAACGTGGTAGAGGAGTTTCTTCTTCATTAACTAACGGATATAATAATTTTAAGCGATCCACTTGTTGTTGTGACGAGTTGTGTACTCTGCTAGCTCCACAACAGTGATTCATTGTCGCCATTTTTGTTACCTCGTTGCCCGGATATAGCCAATGACGTCAGCTTGCAAATTGCCGAATCACCCTGATGCTGAAGGCCATTCACCATCCGACAGACGAGTCGCCCTCTGGCAAGAAATACTATAACCAATTGAAATAAGTAGACCTTGTAAAATCAAATATATATGTACAGATTGTCCGAAGAGTTATTGTGCAATGAGAAATTTGTTATGACATTAAAGTTATACATACAGTTTCTCATACAACTTACAGGTCTCATATGCAAGACTGTACATATAATTTTAATATTATTGCAAATTCTCATTGCACAGTAACTTTTTGGACGCCCCATATGTACAGTACATGCAAAATGCTGATAATATATCCCAAAATAATGCAATTTTAGCATTAATTTTTATCTCTGTTTATATGTACGTACAATATATTCTTAATTATTCATGTTCAGATTATCCTTAAACTATTGAAAACTGTTAATTAATGATTATAAAAATAAGAAATAATGAGTGTGAACAAAATCCTCAATACAGTAATCATGCATTTATGACTTTGCATGTCACTACTAAACCTGTAATTAATAAAATAAAAACAACAACAGATGCCAAATACTAATAATAAAAGATATTTCACACAATTGTCTATCATGAGTACTTTTGACAGTATATAACTGCCTTCTTTGTTACTTTGCTTGAAGAGGACAATTATATACTGTCGAAAGTATTCGTATATTTGTACTCTACTATGTAATTTGTAAATCAATTACAGTTACACTTTTTTTTTTCCTTGGTAGTTCTTCAATAAATATTGTATAGTAGGTACTTCAGATTGTCCAGATTTCTTAATTATCTTGCACTGCCTCTCACTATTAGTACAAATAATCAAGCATAAACTATATATAGGGTGTTAAAAAAGCATTTATGTGACAGATTATTTACTCAGTATAGTGTATACTAACTCTTAGAAAACATAGATTGAAAACTAAATTATTTCCAAAATAAATAATCCAACAAAAAACCCAGAATTTTTTAAAGACTTTGCGATTCTGTAAGATGCCAACAGTGCATAGAAATGGGAGGAAGACACACGAAACACCTGTAAATATCTAGGTAAAAATTTGGCAGGATTATCCTCTTTGTGCACAATGCGTGCAACATATAGAAGCCAATAATTCGGTCCATATAAATGCCGAATTCTTTTTTTAAACATGGCGTAAACATTTAATATATTCAGAATTACATTCCAATCTTCCTTAATTGTTTAAATAAAAATTACGATTACAATTAAGTGTTTGATCATAGAATATATGTAATTAAAATTGTAAATTAATCAAATATAATTAAAATTTCAGCAATGTTAAATTATAAAATGCTAGGTCTTTTAGTTAAAAGATTTAAACGACTACTAAACTGAAGGATAAAGTCATTAAAACTACAAAGTTTTTCTATCATTTTTCTTACTTCTTAAGTAATAAAACTGAATTTATATTTAATCGCAATCAAACTTTACATTCTTTCATGAAAAGAATTTTAAAAAATCCATTTTAATTCTTCTAAAGGTTTAAAACTAATATAATTTAGCAATCAGCAAACAACTGGTGTAATGCAATCAATATTGACAGTGACATGCAAAGTTTCCTATCTTAATCCGAAGCGATTTAACACGCGAAACGGCATTATAACAAAATTTTTATCGACGATAAATAGAAATTACACGAGTAAAAACTATTGTTTACAGTTTTAAAAATGTCTAAAAATAGCCAATCACCTTCAATAACGTAAACAAATTTAACTGGTTTTATGAGTATAATCGCTTATAAGAATGTAAATTAATTATATTTTCTTTGTCTAAGCAGGATTAAATTTAAGTAATGTAAATTGCTTAACGTCTCCAGATGTCATCCGATATATTTAGTAATTATGAAAGATCTTATGTTATAAATATTAAAAAAAAAAA